TACAAATATATACAGCGTGCCTCTCCCCCCCATACACACGCACACACTAAACACATACACACTCACAAAAAAGAAAACTACTGTGTTTCTTTTTATCGCAAAAATAAGCTACGCATCGCCCATCGCTCATTCTCCGCCCAAAGGTAGTGCTAGCAATCCGAATCAGACGCCAAAGTTTCGCAACGATCTGTTTTTCAATCAAAAGTTGGAAGTGGTTTTCTGAAAATTTCAAGGGGAAAATGGGGCTTCATCTGTACCCGTTTTCGGCAACTTGCGCCGTAAAGCTCCGTGCATTCGAGAGTTCCGCGTCGGCCGCCATTTTCCCGTCGAAAGTTGCGGAAAGCAATTTAAAACTTCCGAACGAGATAACGGTTGGTGCTGAAACTTTGGCATCTGGTTGAAACCAAAAGCGCTACCTTTGTGCGGAGAGTAAGCGTTAAAGTAGCTGTGCAACGATATTCCATTGGAATGTTTTTCTCTCTACACGAGCTTACTGGCACACCTGGGACTCAAGGATACTCACACGCAACGCCATTGGCCAAGAAACTCCTTTGTTGCGGTGTAATTTCAAGGACAAAAGCGATCATTTTCATTCAATCTCTCCTTTGCAAAATTTGATGACGTAACTCGGGGATCGCAGTACACCCAAGTGACGATATTTGAATGCGGTTCATAGATTGGACCCGAGCATCGCGTGGGTACTCGTCTTGGGCTCGTGACAATTGCTAGCTCGAGAAGCATTCGGGTTGTGACCCGTGTCCAATCGCTGCAACGACAACAGCCGAGCCATAACAATGTCTGGAACTCAGCGCGTGTCCTGCGCTTTGCCAACCCCAGCGCGTGGCTATGATCAACACTGGCGGCATATAATCGGCTCCAGATCACGTGGCCGCTTGTTCTGGCTGCGAGTTGAGGGGGTGAACGCTGCTCGTTTTTCTTAAATTTGTTTCTGGGACTTCTATTGCGTGGGGTGAAAAACGAACGCGTGTTTCATAGGTCATTAACGTTAGGGATCCGTTTTAAGCGGTATTTGCGCAAAGTACGAAAATCGTTGCATTGCTCCTTTAAACAATGCGCAATTTATCTTTGCAAAAAAAAAAAAAAAATTTTTAGATGGAGGGCACATTTTGTAGGTGCGATCGACTTTTATAGACTAGAAAACACGATAGATAAAGGGACAGCAGGCTTCGCTACATCTAATAATAATAATAATAATAATAATATAAATAATAATAATATTAATAATATAAATAATAATAATAATAATAATAATAATAATAATAATAATAATAATAATAATAATAATAATAATAAAATTAATAATAATAATAATAATAATAATAATAACAACTCTGTATTTACATGGCCGGACTGGTAGCGCGTTTTTAACAGCAGGGAAATGAACATCTTTGCTCTGCCGTGTGCGTGGGAACTTATTTCGCGGTTGCGGTGGGTTGTAACCTGCCCGCGAAAGCGAGCCTTTTTGTTTTGTTTTGTCTTTTCCTCTTCAGAGAGGCGATAAAGTACCGTTTATCGCGAAAATGTTATTTGTACGCTGATGGTTTGTGTGTATGTTTTTCTTTCCACTTTGATTACAAGGTATATAGCGCAGTTTACGCCAACCGATCGCTGCAACGCAGGAACGAAATTCTATTTTGGGCGCAGTGTTATTACGATTTTTTTTTTATCGCATCACAACTTACGAGCATGTGCGGTAGCCCGCTTTTTGAAAGCGCGCTATTACGTGCCGTTTAGTCGCGTAAACACTCGTGAAACATACGAGAAACTCATTTTTGCTAGCGCAAATAGGTTTCCGTCTTTTTTTCTTTTTAATTTGAGTTTATTTATTTAATATTTACCAATCGCAGCTTGTTTCACTTCGCCTTGAGGGCTATTGTGTAGAGGAAGGATGTGGTTGTATGATGTTTTCTTTTTTTTTCGATTATGAATTTGGTTTTGTGGCGCCGTTGGTGCTACTTTTTTTATTTTTGTACGCATATTTATTTAGATTGTTTGGGATTTTATTGACGGTGTTAAAACAAGAATAAACAGAAGTCACTGACAATCTCAGAAAGGCAGAGCCGAGTGTATAATCGCGCTTTTTGCTTCGTGAGGCATTTCGGCAGTGCGTCGTTTATTTTACCGGGCTAAAAATACGGTTCGTATTTTTGTCAAAACGCGTTGTACTTTAAGATTGTGCATGTTTTGTTCCAGGGATGGACAGTATTTGAAATACGTATTTCAAATACTTTGTGTATTTTGCATCTGTATTTAATTACAAATTGGGTAATGTATTTGACGCGTGTATTTAAATACTAAAACGTGGGTATTTCAAATACAAATGTAATCAAATACAATTTTGTGGGCGGAAATACATCCTTCAAATTTATTGTCACTGTCCAGAGCAGGAAGATAACTACGTTCTGCACCGAATGCAGTGTCTCTCAATCAAGCACAAGCGTTTAGTGACTTTGTGATTACGGTGCTAGTCCAGGGCAAGAATAGTGACGAAATCGACGTTCACAGGCAGACTGGCTAAATGAGTGCCTGTGACAACTTGTGATGCTTTCCAGCCTGATTGCCATCCATATTTTTGCATGGAACATTCTAAATGCACGGGTCGTCCAGATTTTCGTAACTGGTGCGAGTTGCAACAATAAAAAATTCTCAAGCTAGTGCCGCGCGTCTTGGTCGTCTCGGTTCCTTGTTTGTCTATACCAAATGTAATCAAAAAAAAAAAAAAAGCTGCTTAAAGCTTTGTACTTTTTTAGCCTATTACGTCCAAGCTGATTACATTTTTTTTTGTGATTACATTTCTATTACGTTACTAGAACCTAGCACACTACCTCCCGAGTGTGCGATGAAAAATTAAAATGAAATACCCAGAAACCCGTTGCAGGTGCCTTGAAGTCGCTGACGCAAATTTTGAGGAATATATTTGGCAAAACTATTTGGAGGAGACCAAATACATTTGGTTGTATTTGTATCTTGTACTTAAATACTTTTTTTGGAAATGTAATTAGATTTGTAATTAAATACATTTTCGACGAAGTATTTTGTATTTGTATTTCGATACATATTTGGATGTATTTTGCCCATCCCTGTTTTGTTCTTTTATGATGTGCTTTGTGCCCTCCTCCGCAGTTCGATTCGAAAGTGCAACAATTCCCTGGGAACGTTTTTTACGGCGCTTAGAGGCGCTGCACTCTAAGAAAAAAAAAGGAGGAAAAAGGTGGCAACGGCGCGGTTTCCTCCCTTCTAGTGACGCGCCCCCAAGCGGACACGAGAAGAAGGGAAGAACGAGACGTTTTTCTCCTTCTCCAGTCAGACGGGAGAAAGGTGCCGCCCTCACGACTCATCTTCTTTCGGTTTCGTTTTTTGAACACGTCGCGCGCGTTGCTTAATGAATGTTGTTGACTTGATTGAGCTTCAGCGGCAAGCGAAGGCTGCCTGTAGTTCCTTCTCCCAGTAGAAACGTTCAAAACATTTTGGTTGCATTGATGCTTTCACCACGAAATTTCCTCGGACGAGCAAACGAAGCCGTTAGAAACAGCGCAGTTCCGCTGCAGTGCCTGAGGCGCTACGTATGGGCTAAGATGGCCGCCCTCGAATTGCGGAACGACGTGTCGACGTTGACGAGTGTAATTTGTGATATTGTCACGAATGACGGGAGTAGAATCGGCGTAAATCCCGTTTGAAACTGAAAGTTTAATGCGGCGAACTTGTTCCAAACAAAATAAAGAACGAACGTCAAGACAGCAGAAAAGCGGGTGGCCATTTGGCGGCGTAATATCGAGCGAGAGCGAGATTGACTCGACAAGGTCCCGCGCAGCTCCTTATCTACGGTGTGAGTCGGCATCTATAGAAAATCCGGCCCAGAAGGTTCGAACGTCAAGCGTTCGGGGTGAGAATGACCAGGCACTTTAGAGAGAAAGAAAGTAGGGCGAAAAGATAAATTTTGCGTCCCGAGTGAGAATAAACACGAATCTTCTAGAAGCACGTATTCGAGCGTTGCTTGCTCGGCCCTGCGCACGGCAATGTCAACAAAGCTGCTTTAAGGTCCTCCACAACATCTTAGGCTTGGTCACGAACTGGCTGGTCAGTTTTCTAAATGTGGAATGTGCCCCTTAATATAACCAATGCCTGCATAATCGTGGCTGGCAGCGCTAAAATACACACACAAAAAAGGCGTTGTCTTACACTTATTTCGTTCATATAATGCACCCCAAAACTTAAGTCCGACGTACAGCGAACTGCCGTCAAACTGACGGCCCCAACTTTTCCGAGGAGCGTGATAACGGTGCAATATAACATTTTAAACTACTAAAGTACGTATAAAAAACTACAGAAAAAAACCCCACAGTTTTTGCAGCAGGGCCAAAAAAAAAAAACCCGGATATCGTTTTTTTTTTCTTTTTGTAGTCAGTAACACGTAGATTAGCTATTTTCATAAGTTGCCCCACTCGGTTATCAAGCCGCTGGTTAAAGTCGGTACATTTTGTTCGACGTCGATCTGTGCGCCCTACGTCGAACTGAAGCTTTGGGGTGCATTATATCATGAGACAAGAGGTGCAAGTACCACACCCCCTATTTCTGAGAGAATACTCGGCGACCTTAAAATTCTCTTGCGCGTCAAAAAAAGACGGGTTATGCACGTAGTAGAGTAGAGACACATTATACCTCGACAAAGAAGCTTCTTAGTGGCTATGCTTGCGAACATGCCTGGGTTACATACGTGCCCGTAAGCATAAAAACCAGCTAAAAACAACAAAATACGATGATGAAGGAGCACACAAACTCAGCTAGCACAAACTAGCCCAAGTCTGCGCCTTGGTGCCAAGCTTGTGCAAAGTAAGAAACACTTGAATCAAATACCGTGGCACTGCTCCTTTCAGAGCAGTCCGAATAACACTACCGTTAGTGTTTAGCGCCATACTTTTGCAGCCAGGCACAAACGCACGTGTGGACTGTTTCACGTGTAAGAACTTTTTCGTTCGTTTTTATCTTCTGCTCGCAAGCCTCAGCTTTATGCCGCCTACTGGTCGAAGCAACACATTGGGTACCGTCACTCTAATAGGATCGACTGTCTCTCCACATGGTAGCACCCTGTAATTCCGTAGAATCTCAACAATCGCAGTCTTGACCTGCAGCACAGCTAATCTCTTCCCGAAACAAGACCTGGGACCCAGACCGAACGGAAAATATGCGAAGGGATGACGTTCAGGCTGGTCTTGGGCGAACCTGTCTGGGAGGAACCTCGAAGGATCGTTCCAGAACTGGGGGCTTCGGTGAATGTGCCAAGCCGGAGCGACAACCATGGTCCCAGCTGGAATGAACTGTTTCATCACGGTCGTGTCCCGGGGGCACACCCTTGTGACCAGAATTGGGATGGGTGGATACAGGCGTAAGCTTTCCTTGACCACCATGTCAAGACGTGTCATGTTCTGGAGGTTGTTCAAGGACGTCTCGCTGGTCTGCGGCAACATGGCATCTATCTCGAGGAACAGCTTATCTTGTTCCTCCGGATGCGTTGCTAGAAGGTGTAGTGTGAACCCGATTGTCGCGGACGTTGTTTCGAAGTTGGCGATAAGAACCATGATGGAGTTGGAGGTGAGGTGACGGTCTTCAATAAGTAGACCGTTCTTGTGGATGCCATTTTTTCTCCATGCTCCATGCTCCAAGGGAAGACAACTGTCACATTCCTTGTCTTCAACGCCGTCCTGTGCGTCAAGCATCGCCTGAAGGATGTCCTTTTCTCGCGGGGCTTGTCCCTGTCGCCGCTTGTGAGCGGTGTCGCGCACGTTTTTGGCGATGCGACTGAGGACTTTGGAAAAACTGGTCAGCGGATAGAGATGTCTGAGGATCGTCCTTATTCCTGGTTGAGCGAGAGTGTTCTCCACTGCCGTTTTGTCCAGGTCTTCAAATATCCACCTGAGTCCGAGGAGCAACGGGTCGTCCGATTTCTGTTGACACTTTGTCTGTGGATCAAAAATTAGTCATTCTTTAGAATAATCTTCAATGAGCTTTCCCACTATGCATAAGTGGATAGGAAAAAAATTGACAGCAATAAATATTGGGAAGAAAACTGCTGCAGAGTAAGCGACAGGAAAATGCGTGGTATCCAAAGTATATATCCTCCAACAACTTTTTGTGCTTTCCTTGAAGCGTATACCGCCCTTATAAGACTTTGTAAGTCGTCACTTGCTAGAGTTATCGCTGCAGACACTGTTCATAAGGCTATATACTTTCCGGAAGTAGGCGACACCAGCGTGCACTATGGCATCCTGATGACTCGCTGGGACATCTTAGCCGCCGGGTTCATTCGCAAGGGCGTAACTAACGTATGTACGTATGATTAATATTAAGTTGTAATCCCTTAGGAATCGAAAGGCGGGAGGTGCCGTATGCCCGGTGCAACCGCACTTACGTTCCATGTCAGCCCAACTCTGGTGATGACATCCAGAGCGTAGCCCTCGGCGGCTTCGACGAAATTGACCACGTCTTTACGTTCGTGGTGCTTTCTGAGGACTTCCAGAAACTCCCTCGCGCACTCGCTCACGATCCCAGAAAGCAGGTTCATCTTGCCGGCGGTGAGGCTGGTGTTCAACACCGGGCGCACCTTCTTCCACTCGTCACCTGGTGAAGAACAGTGTCCTTACCATAAGCATTAAGCCACTGTCACACTGCTTATACATCACTCAAGGACAGCCTTGCAGGTATACCTGCAAGGCTGCAAGGACGTGTTCCTTGTATGATGATCCTGTCCCATTGCTCATACAAAAACTGTCTGTTGAGATGTTCGAAGCATACGTATGCATGGGGCAAGCGTCCTGCAAACATCAGTAAGACGTGCTCACAGATAAGATCATCGTTATGTCTGCGGAGATCTCCGCATCTTTTGTACGATGTGCCGAGCAGTGTGGCTCCGGCTTTATGTGCTGGCAGCGACTGCAGAAGACACTTTTACTTGTTCTTGTTGTCTTTTTTGCAGTTTCATTTGTTTTGAGTCGGGTAAAGCTAAATGCTTGTTTCGAGAGGCGCCTTATAGCCCGTGTGTACCGCCCCGGACAAAATGCGAGGTGGAATACACTGACATTTTCTAAACACCTAGCTGTTTTCTTCACGAGCTCCCGCTACCTCTTCATTTGTCACGCTTAAAAATGTTGGGACCCAAACTTGGTGGTGTTCTAACACTAGTCTGAACCGGAGCTTCTTCTGAAATGACGGGGACGGCAAGAGAAGTGTGGAGTTGCCGCCATATCTCACATTGTTCGCCACGGTACTTTGCAGATGCACAAAAAAAAAAAAAAAAAAAAAAAGAAGAAGAAGAAAAGGGGACCGGGCGTTAAAATGGTCGTCATCATTTCGTCTCTCTACAAATGGCGTGTTAATGAAGATCTACCGATTTGGTTTATGCACGTGCATGAGGAACACTAGCGTCTGTGTGTGTGTGTGTGTGTATCAGCCTTCACTTTGACGTCCTTGTCGCAAAAGAAATCTTTCACCTACAGCTTTTTTTCTCTGTTCACGGGCAACACAGCCTGCGTACGTGGCTGCTTATATTTCTTCGGGCAACACGCCCGTTATCTCGTTTACTTTCCCGATACGTACCGCGACGTATTCGAAGTAATCTGGGATGCGCGCGTGTTCCATCAAGGCCGCGTGTCTTGTGTTTTGCTCTTTTCTTTCTTCAAAAAACCCCTGTAAGCGCGTGTTTTGTGTGTGTGTTTTTTTTCTACAAAAAGACCCCGATAAGCATTGACGTTTTTCCGACACCGAAAATCGACACAGAAGAAACCCGAATTTGGAAAAACAAACAACCCCCGCCCCCCAAAAGAAAAACATACCCGAATTTCAAGAAAAAAAAAGAAAGCACGAACAAACCTCGTAAACAGGACCTATCATTGACGTGCAACCTTGCAGTGATGTAATACTGATATCGTATCTCTTGACCTGTTCTTTACTCGCAGCAGAGCAGACATTTACACGGTTCTACTCATTACAAATAATCAAATTACCTCTCATCGAATACGTTTTTGGTAATTTTGTAATTATTTTAGTACTTTTATTGCAAGGTCCGCACAAGAGGAATCTTAATACCTCTGAAAGTACTTAAAATTACTTGTAACAGTTAGTATTTCCCCCTCCTTTTTCTAATGGCACCCTTCGTTTCTACAAGATTCCTACGAAGGAATCCTCGAATCATATGTCTTTTACAAAAGGGTGATCTACTAAAATTGGTGTATTGAAAGGATAAGTAGCTTGTAATAGACCCTTTCCAAAATTCAGTGCCATCTGGTGCTTTGTAAAGCAGTTTAGGTCCATATCAATGGCGGAAATTGAACTTGTATCGGCACCGTCACTTTCGCCAGGAATTGTTCGGTGAGTTCTTTCTCGATGACTTTCAGTTCGACGGTGACCAAGAACCTCCATTCAGAACAAAGCTTCAATTCACTCAGATGCCTTGAGAAAATCCTGTACACCAAAGTGCTTTAAAGCAGATTGTGTGCAGCACACAGATTGACTGAATCTGAGTCATTAGAAATAAACGCTCACGTAGCTCTTGTGTTCCACTCCTACGTCGCGTTGTACCGACCCCCCCCCCCTCCCCCCCAATGTACAGGCCTCGCAAGATCCGCTTAGGAGCATCTTCAACGTCTTCTTTTATCAGTCACTAGAAGGCCGCCATTGGTATGGCACAGATGCTGTTACACTGATGATGATAGTGATCAAAGTGGCCAGACTGAATTTCGGAAAGGGTCTATTTGGTGATTCTAACCCAATAACGGGCAGTACGAGGGCCCGTTTTTAAAACCGACAGAAAAGGCCTGTGTTGTGAAAATGCAAAGAAAAGAAAAGTAACGGTTGCTTTTCCCAAGTAATGTTCAATCACCTTATTGTGTCCGTCAGCAAACAAATGATGACACGAAACTCTGGACAGCTACCGCCATCTATGGGCGACGGCGGCAACATTTCGAGCCTTTCCACTCTGGCTTGGCGACTTGCGGCCGGTCATTTCTTCATTCCCACCATAGTACAGCTTCGCTGGTCTTCCTTCATCATCAGAGTGGAAAGGCTGAAAGTTTTCTCTCAGGTGAACGAGTGATGTAACTGAATATAATTTTTAACGAAGATTAATTGTAATCGTAATTGATTGCTTTTTTTTGAGTAACGTGTACATACAAGACTGCCGCAGAGAGAAAAAAAGGGGGGGGGGGGGAAAGCATATTTACCTGGGAGAAACGGCAACGCACTGGTGAATGGCTCAACGTCGATGACGTATTGTGGCCTGTCCGTAAAGGTGTTTGCCTCCGTCACAAAAATTTGACGTACGAGATCGAGGTCCGTGACGACCATCCAGGGTTTCTCGGCCATGAAGAACCCGAACACCTGACCGTACTCCTCGATCCACTGTTGCAACACCTGCATCAAGACGGGTAGCGCTTCAGGTCTTCCCCATATTCGAGTAATTGGTCGCATGCTCTGTTTGTGACTAATTGCATGCCACAGTACGCTAATTTGTCGACATTAGGCCTCGAACGTAGTTCGTCGCAAGCTTCCACCAAATACTGAGCAAAAAAAAAAAAAAAAGGGGAGGAGGAAGGGAGTCGGTGTACTTGCCTAACATATCACCCCCCCCCCCCCCCCTAAAAAAAAAAGAAAAAGAAAGACAAGAAAATAGAGAAAGTATGTTGAGAGAAAATAGAAACAAAATATGCGTTTGAATTCAGATCATACTTTCTAATGGGCGCTCGTCTGGCTTTTCTTTTTTTTAAATCATGAAATACTTTTTAACGCTGGCCCCAATTTTTGTCCGTGGTAAACGGGGGCATTGAACCCAGGTTCCCTGGGTTCTGCAGGGTTGGCGTTCACTCCACGCGTTTTCGAGGGACCCGTCCCACTGCACCAACCAAAACTTTCAACGGTTCTACAAAAAACGATCGTACATTTCACATTGGAACGGCACCCTGGCTTCGATGTGCTGCTGGCAGCGCAGAACGGTCATCAGCCTCTGTGCATACATGGCCCACGAATGTCCAGAGTGGACATGCGTGGCACGTTAGATCGTACCGAGAACGACCCCGGAAACATGTGCGCCGCTAGGGTATAGAATAAGAAGGTCCTAACCTGAATACGGTTCTTCTTGAGCTGCTTCCAGTTTCCCCAGAACAGCTCTGGCTCGGGTCCTGGTATGCCATTCCTGCGGAACAGTCCGTGTGCCCGGCGTCGCCTGAACGCCCAGAACAACAGGATACTGGGTACTAGCAGGAGAAGTGGGGAAGCTAACACCTTCCAGATCAGATCAGCCATTGTTGACCAAGTCTCAAAGTAAGATGGGGGTGTGTAGGCTTTGTGAGAAGAGAATAGGGGGAAAATGTGAGTGCCGATCGTTTACGCGCACAAGGCACATTTGTCACTGGCTCGTGAGATGGGGCTCTATTCTTGATACTTGACAAAAAAGTTGGCGAGGGATTCAGCGGCTCTGTTTGGCCGTCGCAGCGCTTGACCTTGGCGCCGGCCAATCACGGCGGTTGAATTCCTCGCCGACTTTTTCGTCAAGTGTCCAGATTAGAGCCCCTGCCGTGTGGTATCAGTAACGCGCAGTTGCCGGCGGAATCTCTTGATTTATTTCTGTCGCAAATATTTTGCATTATCGCGGACAAACGAGGGGAAAAAAATGACCAGGCGTGCGCGTGGCTTTGAAGGCTTGCAACAGGAACGGGCTCATGCTGAACCGAAATGTGGATTCCACAAAGCACGCGGCAAAAGCGTGCGACGGGATGCTACAAACACCAAAACATCACTCATACAGCGATATTCCGAACGGATGACCGTATTTTCCAAGAAAAGAAGGCGAATTTGACAGAAATGTTGACGTCATGTTTCTTCGAGAAGGAGAGCGAACGGCCTCGCGTCTTCTCCGCCTCGCCGCCTTGAGGGAGCGAAGCGAAGAGAGGAGGAAACTAGGTATCATGACTGTCACGCACCTCGTCGGCCTGGTTCAATCTCGACCTCTTTTTCCAAAAATACGGCCGTCCATTCGAAATATCGCCTTACGAGTAGTGTTGTAGGGATTATAGCATCCCGCCTACATCTCCTGCATTGCTTTTTCGGACATCCAAATTTCGGTTCACCATTCCTTTAAGCGACTCTCATTTTTGTCGTCTGGATTGGTTATTTTTTTTTAGTTAATGGTGAGCTCTGCGAGAGTCGTAGAAGCGTTCCGCATCAAAAAACAAAGTCAAGGGCAGCCGAAACCACCGGGTCGGCAAGTTGGGCAATCGGTTTTCGGGTTATGACGTTTCTGCAATCAGTGCAAAAACTCAGCGATCTGGATAAGGATAGCGATAATAATCCCGGGGAAGGGGAACAATGCCTTTTGTGACGCGGCCCCCAAGATAGCTGTACTACTCATCGGTTGTCTGAATGAAATTTTGATCTGATTTGATTTGATGTGTTCGATGGCAAGGCTCCACCGTAGTCGTTGAGCGCACCTCTGAACTTGTCTGTCTCATGTGAGAGTAGACAGCCAGAATCGCGTGGACGGTGCTCCGGAATTTGCTCACCTGTTTCCAGACTAAAAGTTTCGTACCTTGTTATTCGAAAAAGAGAAAAACCAACAACAGCACTCGTGCAGTGGCAGTTTATCTGCGTTTTCAGATGACATGACCCACCGGAGTAACATGAACCTACTCGAGGATCCAATTATTGACACACAACCAATGACGCCGTACCGATATTGTGTATTTTGACTGCAACTTTTCTCATTGGAGAGAGAGAGGGAAGTCAACCGGCAGGATCGCGACATCCGGCTCCTATGACGTCATTTGTTGGGACTTCGGGTCCGCTTTTGATATCTGTGGGCGGGTTAGGACACTAAACACCAGTCGGAGACTCGCTCCAGCCACCATAGTTGTACTGCACCGGCTAAATTTCTCATCCACAGCTGAGACATTAGACGCCCACTTGGGCTGACTAGCTTGCCCCTCTGTCAGCCCTTGGAAGCAACCGCCATTGGCTTCTGAAGGAAGCTCACTTCTGTGCTATTCCTCCATTTGCTTCGAAAGATCGGATGAGGTAAGCACCTCGCGTGCATTGACGCCTTTGTTGGGACGCGAGTTATCTGGGCAGGATTCCGCGTGGGAACGCGATGGTAATCTTATCATCCGCGTTTTGCCACTGCTCGCTTTGCACCTGCTGCACGTGTGTTAAGTTTGGTGCGCCCCCGAGTTTCCCACAAGATTCAAGTCGTTCTAAAATTGACTGATACAGTGGCTTTCGATTATGCTCAGCATGTTTCCAGTTGAAACCATATGATTATTTTTTTCACTAATTAGGAAGTTACTTATTCGACTATTTACAAAAATTAGCCATCCACATAATGTCCCCCTGGCCGTATAACTCACCTGCCCAAACTGTATTAGTGCATCTTTTACTGATTGTTTATGATAAATCTGTTCGAAACACCCGGTGTTTGTGGGAAGCACTTCGACCGTGCTTGAAGCTTGTACTCAGATATATTTCTCTCATGTTTGCTGCGAACACCGCGTTTTTATTTTGTATGCTATGGGCAGTGTTACTGCCGCTTAACAAGTGATACTGAGCGCAAGTTGGACTGCTTGCGTTGCGATGATGCGAGAACGCCGAGCTCTTATTGGCCGATTGAACAAAGAAAAAATAGTGGGTAGACTTCGAGGCGTCTAGCATTGAGGTCTACCCACAATCAAAGCCAATAAGAATTCGACGTCGTTATGACGTCATCGAAAACCTCTGCGCAAAAAGCAGTCGAACTTTCGCTCCGCATATAGAGTAGCTGGGAGTCCTGTTCTTCAAAACCGCATCCCGGCGTTTCCTCCGTGCTGCGTATTCGTTTATACCGCTGCGAATTGTCGGCAAAAACAGCGGGCTCTTCGTAGGCACATAAATTGGGGACTGGCGTCGGGTATGTTGGTGGAGTCCCTTATCAGGCCCCGAGCACGCAGGAGGAATGCCTGTGTATGGCGACGCGCGTGCTAGGGGGTGTCCTTAGTTATTTCTTCTTTATTTTTGTTTTTTTAGGTAGTTTATTTTTCTCGCTCGTTACGTTGTAACTGGTGTACTTACCCAATTCACATTCTGGCTGATATCCTTTTGTACGTTCTTGAACGTTCGCGCAGAAGTGTTTTTTTCTCTAGAACTTAAAGACAATGGGCCCGAAATTTGTATATGCGTTCTGTACTGAATTTTGCCTGCTTGCATTTCAATAAAAAAATCTGCTGGTAAAAAAAACTCTCGAGCCGGGGTCACTCTGGTCACACGTCATTCAAAAGACAGTGTGCAAACCTCAGTCACTGCAATGTCCGCGGTTCGAATGCAGCGTGCCAAGTATTCTTCTCGAACTCGTTGCCATGCGGCATTCGAAGCACTGATGTCGCGGTGACTCTCGTTCGAATCTGCATGCAGACTGTCGTTTGTCTATATTTTGCACCCTAAAAAGTTGTTTTAAGCACCTCTTAAAAGGGTGCTTCGTGAAAACCTTAGAAGGGGTTCTTTTAAGCACCTTTTTTTGATGCGAAAGAGTTCTTCATCACCCAGTTGCCGTTCTCGTGCGCCAGGGGGCGATTGTGCTTGGGGCGAAACCAAAAAAATACGGTAAGTGCGCATTCGAGCTGAAGGATGCAACACATGATATTCTAACCCAAAGCTGAAGCAAAAAAAAAGTTTTTTGTTTTTGTTTTTACTGTTAAAAAAAGTGACGGGCTGGCTAGGTACGCTGTCTGCCCCTGCTACTTTCTCCAACTTTAAAAAGAAAAACAAAATCCTCCTCTTGCTCCAGTCTCGGGTTTAAATCGTCATGGAGGCGAAACTGTTCTGCACGAGCTAAAAGAGTCCTTGGGACGTCGAAGAACTTTTAAAGAACAGATTTTTATTAGAGTGTGATTGTGCGTTCGTGTGTATGTTTGCCTCCATGCCCGTGCGTACGCTTGGGCGTTTGTGTGTGCGTGCGAGCCTCTGTGTTTGTGCGTTCGGGAGTTTTGAGTGAGGTTTTTAATGCGAAAGCATTAACTGTCCCATGCAGCGAAGCCGGCGTTGTCTGTAACCGTCTGTAGTAGAGAAATGGCAGCTAAATTCTCATTGGCCAAGGACACAGCAACGCCGATGCATCGTCACACACTCTCAGAAAAAAAGGTGTATTATTACACCCCTTGTCCCATATAATACACCCCAAAACTTCAATTCGACGTACAGCGCCCCATAATCAAACGGGCGGCCCCAAAGTTTACGAGGGGCTTGATAGCCGTGTGGTACAACTTATTAAGATAGCTGATGTACGTATTATTGACTACAAAAAAGATTATCGAAGTTTTCTTGGCCGTACTGCAAAAGCTCCGTGTTTTCTTTCTTTTGTCTTTGATACATACTTTAGCAATTTAATAAGTTATATCGAACCGTTATCAAGCCCCTGGTAAAATTTGGAGCCGTTTGTTCGACTATAGGGCGCTGTACGTCGAAATGAATTTTTGGGGTGTATTATATGGGACAAAAGGGTGTAAGGTGATACCCTTTTTTTTTTAGAGTGCAGAAGCCGTCGTGAGGCCCGCGGGGTTCACTGCGCCTGCGCGGTCGGGAAGCGTGACGTCACTGCAGGGGGGCCGTGTGCAAAAGGCAGGGCATTCCTACAAGCGCTGCTTGTAGGAATGCCCTGCGTGTAGGAATGCTGTCTCATTCCTACACGTAAACTGTCTTAAGTGTCTTTAGCGTACGCTATATATACCGGGTGTTATATACGCTATGTATACCGGGTTTTAAGAAAAAGCCTTGAAAGCTACACTTATGCGGTTTGTGCGAGTGAGTTATGCGCCCAGGGAGACATTATGTGGGTAGCTAATCTTTGCGATAAGTCGGCTAATTAATAAAAATTCAATAATTAACTTTTTAATTAGTGAAAATAGACATATGGTTCCAACTAGAAACGTGCTGAGCGTCGTCCAAAGCCGCACAAAATCGACGGGTTTTTAAGTTTCGGTTTGCTATCGGAGCGCATCTCAGCCCCGGCGGCACCGCGCCCCATGGAGAGATAGTGCAACCAGCCTCTGCCGCGTCGCGCGATGACAGTGCATTAGAGGTTGGTTGCACTATCTCCCCAAGGGGCGCGGTGCCGCCGGGGCTGAGATGCGCTCCGATAGCAAATTGAAACTTAAAAACCCGTCGATTTTTGTGCGGTTTTTCAGAAAGCCGTAAAATGCTTCGCGTGAATTCTATCGCTCTGCAATTTGTTGATTTAGTGTTTTTCGATGATGCTGACCAATTTTCTAATTGAAACCATGCCCTTAAACTCAATATTGCCGCACGCAAGGCTGAGAAAGCAACGCTCGGTCACGGTCCTCCAGAAAGTTCCCGTTTATTCATGTACCGCACGT